AAAATATTTTTAAAAATTCAAGAATATTGAGAACAAACTATGTTCAAGTCATATACATGTTATCGTTTATTGCCTATTAGGCATTTCATGAATCTATGATATATTTTTATATTGAAAACATCAATAGAACATATAGGTGGAATTTTGTCCAACCCGTCGTAAAAATGTACTCAATACTCAGTGAGTGTGAAAACACTTGCAAAAATAGTACTCCCTGCTTACTTGGGCTCGAATTCAACCATGGCCATCAGATGCAAGCTCAGTGGTCTGAAGGCATGATGCCAGGCTAGTGATCTGGAGAACGTGGGTTTGAGTCCCACTGGAGAACAACTTGCAAATATTTTTTGCAAGTGTTTTCACACGCACTGAGTATTCAGTACATTTTCATGACAAGTTGGCCAAAATTACACACATAGGGCGCCCCCAATTGATTCTCTTGACGCAAATTCAGTTATTGTTTATTCCTTCACAATAACAATTACCATTCAATAATAGTAGTAAATATAGAGCATTTTTTGCAGGTGTTTTCACACGCACTGAACATTCAGTACATTTTCACGACAGGTTGGGCAAAATTGCACATAAAAGCCCCCTAACGCAAATCCAGGTACACAATAATAACTGAAAAAACTTTAAAATACCACAAATTCAAATGTGCGTGACGATATTTTATTTCTTTAGAAATAGGATTTATAAAAGTATATAGTAAATCACGCACTGAGTATTCAATACATTTTCACGACAGGTTGGGCAAAATACATAAAGGCCCCCTTTGATTCTCCTGACGCAAATCCAGGTATTGTCTATCATCACGATAACATTTACCATTCAATAATAGAACAGCTATCGACCTACTTTACAGTGAACTGAATCCAAAATGTATTCATGAAGTTATGATGATCTGAAGTGTTTAAAAACGTACACAATAATAGTTCAACCAACTCTAAAATACCACAAACACAAATGTGTGTGACAATATTTCATTGCTTTAGAAATGTGATTTCAAAAAGTATATTAGTGCATCGTATATGTAAGGGCTTGTTTTGTTGTTTATTTTTTACTTTGCGTTTGGGAGATAGGTGGTAAATTGTTATGAATATAATCAATAATTATAGCATCTAAAACCTAATACTATTGAAAGGTCCTTTTAAAGTTTAATTAGGATTTTTTAGATCATTAGACATATTGAATGAGCCCCCAATAGCCCCGGGCCCCAGTGCTGTGCACTGACTGCACTGCCCATATACCTACGCCACTGGACCTGAGTATTATTAGTGGTTACATAACGTTTGTTATGCAGTGTATCATGTGCTGTAGAAATGGAAAACCATAATGTATTTTAAATGTACCTCTCTCTCTGGTAGGGCCTACAGTATAATCAGTTTAAAAGTGTAAGGTATAGGATAGTGTGGATTTGAACATTTTCCTAATGGTAATGTTCAAAATAAGTGTCAACATTAGGCCGACCAGCCCTCCTTAAACTAACGGTACGTTATCTCACTATATTAATTGGATTAACACAATATCAAGGATAAGTTCTGAGTGTTTAACACTGGTGTCCTTGGATTCAATTATGGGTAAACGGATTAGTTGCCTTTTTTATAAGGTTTTAATTGTTCTTTACCGCCGAAAGTGCGGTATTCTAACATTAGTTTAAGGAGGGCTGGTCGGCCTAATGAGGAAAGTATGTATGATTGTTGGAAAAAATGGTCAACATTGTATTTTGAATTCTCACCCTAACCTTCGCCTGGGCGAAGTGGGCAAAGGCCTGGATCTACGTCTAGTTAGTATAAATTTTGTAAGCCAAGACCCACAGTATTTTGTTACATTTCTTCACAGAGGGAGGTTCGTCAAAAAACCCTAAATCCCCCCTGGATCCGCCACTCAGTCTGTTTTTTAGTTAAATACTCCATAAAAAGCACCTTGCTGTGGAGTGTGCTGTTTGGTGCTCACATAACCAGTCAGTTGTTATGTGGTCAACACTCAGTGGTTAACATTTAACAAATAAAAAGGTACAAGTAAAAAATTGAAAGCATCTCGGTCGCTAAAGCTGTTGATGGGTTGCTGAAAAAAGCAACTCTCTCAGTACTGGCAGTGTTGGTAACTTGTTCCAGACAGGTATAGTGCGCACTAAGAAGGAAAATCTATAGGTGTTGATTCTTGACTGTATGTTCTGGTAGGCCAGGATGTTTGATGTTCTAATTTGATGGACAGCAGGATTAATGCAAAATGGGAATGGAGTATTTAAAAGTTTGTTGTGAGTCTTATAAAGCATTGAACATTGATTTAGTTGTCTCCTGTTAGCTAGAGAATCCCACTTAAGCTGCTCGAGCATCTGGGTAACACTTGATGTTCGACTGTAGGTGTTAAGAACAAATCAAATTTACATGGATTCCAAGCTGCCGAAGAGTATTCTATCTTTGGTCGCACCAGACCTCAGTATGCACAAGTTTATACTTTTGACGAACATGATGAAATATTTCTCATGATGACATGATGAAATATGTTCAACGTTATTACAGATATAGAAATTACATTTTTATATTTTCTAAAATGACAAGCAGTATTTTTAATATGTGACATGTCCAAAAATCGTGATTCATTGCCAAATGTTGTTGATAATTTCTTTATTGAAATTCCTCAACGAATTTAGTAATCTGGGATTCGTTCAAGTTTTTCAAGCTCGTTAGAAATAAAAATACAGTTTTTAAAATGTTACATTTTAAAAGTGATATTATTGTGAAATAATTGTTTCCTTGTTTTGAATTCCTAACCAGGCCCAGTCAGAAGGTCTAGAGTAAGCTTTAACTAACCCTGATTTTAATCAGTGTAATCCTTGGTTGCCTGCTGAGTTTATTGTAGATCTTGGTAAAATGACCTAGAAAAAATTGGCCCCGGTTGAAATGCCCCAAATGAGAGGTAGGTAAAAATGGCCCCCAATAATAAAATTCTGAATTAAAAATGATTTTTTTTAATTATTATAATGCACAGTAGAGTAGACGACACCATAGGCCATTTGCATAATAATGAATGATTACATAATAATTTCATAATTATGTGGGTATGAATTTTTATAATGTTGATATATTAATTTGCATATGCGGGCATATTAATTTTCATATTTTGCTGGTATATTAATTTGCATATGCTGGTATATTAATTTGAATATGCTGGTATATTAATTTGCATATGTTGGTATATTAATTTATATATGGTTGTTTATTAATTTCCATAATGTTGAAATATTAATTTGCATAATGCGGGTGTGT